CCCCCCCCCACAGTTTTCACTCCCTCACTCACTCCGAACCTCACCTCAACCCGTCCTGCAGCTCCGGCACTTGGAAGAACCACTCCTTCGTTTCGCCCTCGCGCGGCGAGTCGTTCGTCGCCGTCGGACTGGCCGTCCCCGACTCGCTCCACAGCAACGGCCGGTGCATCGGAAGCCGCGGTCGCGCCCGGTCGCGCCCCGGTCGCTTGGGACTGAAGCCTTGAGATGAAAGGTCGATGCAGCGGAGGAACAACCACCAGCTTCCCCAGACACGACCTGTCTGGGACTGCCAGGACGGACTGCCGAGAAAAACGGCCTTTCCCGGGGTGGTGGTGCCAGAGGGGTCAATGTAGGTATATATGGCATACATGGAGTGTCTGGCTTCGGATTCTTTGCAATCTCGGAGTGCCTGTTTGTGACCCGTGACCTTGCTGACCGGGCCTGTTGGTGACCTCAAACTGGAAGAGATATTGGGATAATCAAGTTCGGTCACTTTGAAGAACCAGGAATGAACCGGGACGATGTGAGGATGATTTGAAGATGAAGAAGGAGAAAAGAACAGCTTCGGAGCTGCCGACAGGTCTGTGGAGCGTTTGGAAGGGTGCTGACGCACCAACTTCTTGACACTTGCCTCACTTGCCCCGTCATCACATCCATGGAATCCTGCTTTTGCAGTGTTCCATCAGGTTGAGCCATGTATTCCAAGTGGGCCCAGGTCAATGCACCGGCCCGGGGCCCAAAGTCTCTGAATCACCCCAGTCACGAACATGTGGACCCATGTGCCCGTCACGCGCACATTCGAAACTCGATGCTCCCCCAGCCTTTACACGGCAGGAATTAAACCATTGTGTTTTCAGAGTGACCGAATCCGAAATCTTCCAGTTCGACCGACCGTCCAGAACCCAAAGATCAGTCTAGCCCAAAAACACCAGGGGTCCCCAGGCCAGGGGTGTCTAATTATAGCTCCGTACAGAGGTTAAGGGGTATCCATTAACTACCCCTATCCGGGGGGGGCCCTGGTAGAGGTTGCAAACATGTGCTCCAAAATCCATGCACGGGGAAAGACCCCGTTGGGATGCGTCCAAAAAGAAGGCCGGTTGGACGTCTCCAACGCCGATTCTGCTTGGGGTTCTACTGCTCTCTTCGCACGAGAAGACAACGCTGTCCTTTTCTTCCTGAAGTCGGTAAGCCTTTGTGCCGTTGGTTTGGAATCCAAATGGATCAAACCAGTCTCAGTGCCAAAACCGACTCGACTCAACTCACACCTCGTTGAGGAGACGGGGCCCACGTCTCCAATAGCGGGCGGTCTTCGCTCGACGACCGCCTGGCCGGGCGGTCTGTCAAGTCGCTGTCCGAGGTGTGTGGAACACTCACTGCCGGTTTCACCGCCTATGACCAACCCCGCCACAAAAAAGAGGCAAACACCAGGAGTCACAAAGGGGTGGTGTTTAGTCCCCAAGTGAGTGGATCATGGGCACCCCTAACCTCCATTGAGCACCCCGTCTTGTGACTGCTGGCAGAAGTGTAGGCCATGTATAAAAGTGCACTATACTGCACCGACGTGTAGTAGCGGAGGTCGTGTGGCTCTTGAGTTGAGCCGTGTTGAAGTTTTATCACCCCATGGAGGACAATATTATGTTATATATATAATATATTATCATATTTATATGCTATAATATAGTAGTCTGCCTGGAGGCTAGAGTTGGAAGGCCCTCGATGAACATGCAGTCCCGGTGTAACATGGTGTAAAAAAAAGGTTCTTACCTGGCTGGTGATGTTTTTCGATGTTTTTCCTTTGGGCACTTGACATCGAGCCCACAATCCCATGACATCGAGCCGTGCCGCTTCTTTTCTTTCGATCCACTGGATGTACCAGCCGGGACTCCAAACAGCATCCTCGCTTGGAACACCTCACTGTCTCGCTTCGATTGGCCAATTCCGATTCACCATGCCCTCCCTCCAACAAACACGGCCAAGTGGAACAAGACCTGGTCAGGTGGTGGTTCAGTCTTTGAAATTCTTCTGTTTGTGGTTCCTGTGGTCTGTTTGTGATTCGTTGTGTGGCCCATGTTCCACTTCCATGCCCGTTCAAGAAAGGTCCAAGGATTCAAATCTGTACAGGATGACTCGGGGCTGCGTCTAGCTGACCCAAGGCGTGCCATCTGCACCAACCTTGACATGGTAGGCACTGATGCCCCCTTGAGGAATACATCCCCATAGGCCTCCTCAAAGGCTAGACTTTGGACCCTCCAACCCACCTTAAGCACCTTCTCAGAAGGTGCTTGGAGCCCTATAGGCCCTATAGGGACCTACAAATTCTACTAGTATTTTGGCTGGCTAACTGTGAAACATTGTGAAGCCTTCCAGGATCAAGCCTTGTCATGTCTTCACCAAATAGAGTTCTCAAAGGGCGATGCCATGCTGCTCGCAGCTGCTCACATTCAAAAGGAAGGGGGGGGACCAACTTGAGAGAACTCGTGTGTTCAACGACATGTGGTTACATTTTGTACTCCCAACATCTGGCATTGAAGACCTCTTGCATGCAAAAATCCTCTTCCCACTTCCCATCCGCGAAGAAGAGTTCGGAACACCGAAACCTGGCCGCTCAGGTCAGCGAAACGTGGAAAATGCGCAGAAACAGCCCCGTCACATCACGCGAATTCTCCAGGCCCACTCAGCCTGCGAAGGGAGTTCCGCCCAGATCTTGATCTCTAGCCCCGTGTAACCCTTCCAAACACAAATGCTATAGGAACTAGTGTTGATGTTTCAACACCGATTCCTTTGGGGGGCACAATGGCCCAAATTTACAAAACAAGGAAACCCGTTCTATATACCCATACGGCCAAACCGTTATGTTGAAGACATGGGGAGCTCCTTGCTTGGGCAAAACATGGCCAAAC